CTACTTTGCCAGTTCCAACCCCCTGTCTCTCTCCACTCTGCCAGATGCCACTATCCCATCTCATCCTTGCCTGCTCTGACACAGCAAACGTTTGCAGCATATTGGTGATTTTTTTCCAACCTGGGCTGTCACTAGCTAGGTATTGGCAGCTTCCCCCCAAACAGTATACAATTTCTGAAAGCCAAGATGCTGTAGAATTTAAAAGCAGCAGTTGCAAATTTTTATGTTGCACGATATTAGCACAACTCCATCAAACCCAAAATTTTTGTAAAAATGCACTTAAAGGAGAACTATGAGGTGAGTGCTTTTCACTCACCTCATAGTTCTAGCCGACCTGTGACAATGAGACTGTCACAGGTCGGCTCAGTAGATCGGGAGGTGAGCGAACACATACCATCGTTCGCTCACCTCTCAATCCCCCTGGATTCCCCCCTCCCCGCTCCGATCCGCCAGCGCTGACTGGTGGATCGGACGGAGGAGGGGGCGGGGACAGCTGGCTCTGACTCTAGATAGGCAGAGCCAGCTGTCAGTCACGCAGCTGGGCGGATCCCGGCACAATTGTCGTGATCCGCTTCAGCTGCGGCGTCTCAGTATACCGCGAGCTACAGCTCGCGGTATAATGAGCCTAGGGTGACGGGAGGACGCTAGTTTGTGTCCTCCCGTTACCCTAAGGAGAACTATGGGGAAAAGACTTAACCCCATAGTTCTCTAAGTTAACTTTAGTGCCCTAAAGCACAATATAATGTAAATATTGGCCTTAGAATTATTACTCTCTCTGATGTGTGCAACGAGACCCAACATGTGTAGCGCTATCGGCGTTGTTGTACGTAGGTGCACCCAACACGTGTTTATGTGAATACGTGCGTGCACACGAGCGAATTGTTAAACATTTTTTTTTATTATTTTTACATTTACTTTATTTCATATTTTTTTTAAACTCTTTTGTACTTTAATTGCTATCCCATGGGGGGGCTTACAACCCCATGTGATAGCATATTGGTGGTGACAGGTACTCTTTAAGAAGATACTGGGGGTCCAAAATACCCCTAGTGTCACCTTTCCACTTTAAATAAGCTATTGAAGTGCAGATCGCACTTCAATAGCTTATTGCTCGGATTCCAGAGCCGAGCAATTAAAGCTCAGGGACTGGAAATAATGCAATACGCGTTGCACTCAACGGGGAGGCGCTTCCTGCCAACACCTGAGATGCCAGGCCCGCAGGAAGGGTGGCGGCGGAGCCTGGGAAACACTGCGGGGGTGTCGAGGGGACACGCACACACTTTACCAGCAGGTAGAAGCGACCTGGCGGCAGCTGAGCCACCAGAATTGCTTCTATTGTAAAGCCGGCAGCCGGCTCTACAAATGTAGAAAGTCCCAGTGGCTAAAGCCACCGGGAGTCTGTTTAAACGGGCCCGCTGCCAGTGACGTACTATGTACGTCACTGGTCGCTGAGGGGTTAAAAGGCATCACATTATTTTGGCTTTGATAAGATCTGATTAAAGAAGAGTATCATGGTTTTGAAAGCTTCCATTATCTTTGATTTTGACAGGCTTTTTCAACGACTGGAAACAAAACTGAAGGACATTTCCAAAATTGCTGGTGATGTAACACAAAGTGTGTCTTTATCACAAGGAATGGAACGAAAGAATGTTATACAGCATATTCGCAATATGTACAAAATGGATTTGAGTGCAAGCCGACATTGGCAGGAACTTGTTCAGCAGCTAACTCATGACAGGTTAGTACTTAATCATGTGCAATTTCATGCTGAAGACTTTTTTTTCTAATTTTAGTGGTCATAAAACTGACTCTTGAATATTAGTACTGTTCTGTCCCTGCTTCACGTTACCCTGTGGCCTGGGTATAGCTCGATATGCAGCTAAACCTTCCTATTCTGCAATAAGCCAGACTGAATGAAATCTTGAATCTTTATTAACAATACAGGGTGGGTGAAACTGGTGCAAAAGAACATTACATGTCCATATGCTGATTGTATGTTTTAAACAGAGTGATAACTCACAAATATAAAGATAAACAAGTCCGTCCCTACCAGCGATGCTGCTGTATGGGAAATCTGCAAATTTACTCCAAATGTGCTCAGGATGGCACTAGATTCTCCTGTCCTCGGTTCCCATAATGCATTGTTACCTTCTTCTTGGGCTAAAGGTTGATGAGAACTTTTTTTAAGGAAAGATAGTGTTATGATCACTGTAAATTGAGAGATTTTCTTTTGTCACCATCTTGTGGCCGATTTTAAGATGGCTGGTAGGTAAGGCAATAAATCTAACAAGTACAGTATTTGAAACTAAGGTGCAATTAAAACTCATACATATTTGCCCGCTGAAAGTTGCACGCGTTTGCACGTAGCATTAACTGCATTTACAGTGTGGTCAGTTTGCTTTAAACAGATGCTTAAAGCAACTCTGGAGTACAAATTAAAATTCCAGGTGAAGCTTTACCTGCACAGAATAAGGTAAATATTTACCTCTCTATCTTCCCTAGCTGTTGAATGTGCAATTTGATAAAGAGAAATTCTTCAACAAATTTTCTTAAGAAACCAACAATTTTGTCAGGAAGAGGCCCAGGGAGTTGCTTCCCCAGAGTTCCCTGCATGCTTGAAAAACCTGTGTCATAGATTCTTCTCAATACTATTACTGTGTGAAAGCTTACTTCCAGATGGAAGCTTGCATGTTCGTAGGAAGATTGTTCAATGGATGGGTTTTGCATGCTTGGTTTGCCACTGTCTGTTTGTGGAGAGCTTAAGAGCAAAGTGCAGTAACTAATGTCGCCCCAATAAAAAAATAATTTTACCTTGCCCTCCACAATCCCAAGTATAGTAATGGTGTATTTCTGTTTAAAAATGTACAAGGTTATAAACTCTTGCCTAAAATGTCCATGAACTTTTTTTCTTGGACCCAGAAGATCTCTGAAAAATGAAGTCAGGATCTTTTAGTGCAAGTACAGAAAACACATTTCCTGCTAACCAGCAGACCTGGGAATTGTTTTCAATTAAGTCCCTCTGCTGGTTAGAATTGCTGATTGTGTGACTCCTCCCACATGTGCCTCCCTTGTAAGTAATGCTGACCATACTCTAATAGATTTTGTAATCCAGCCTGCGGGCTGAACGAAAGAAATGTAACAGAATCCTTCATCTATGCTAAACAGCCTCCCTTCCCCCTCCCTGCTGGGCTTTGTATTCTGACAGCCAGCAGTCACTGTGTGGACGACAATTTTAGGCCCAGCTCCTTCAACAAAAGTCGACTGAGTAATCAACTTTGTTAAGCCAGCAGGGCCACCCACTGTTAGACTTATAGTGAATTCCTGGGGTTAAATTTATTAAACTGCTTGCCATTTTATCTTTCTTTGCTTCCCCTTAGCTTTTTATTTTTGTCATAAACACAAGACATGTTAGTTTAGAATACTTTAGAATTTTGTGTATTAAACACCTTTTTGTATAAATCTGTAATACTGTGCAAAGTGTGTACATTGGTTGACATGACAAAAAGCAATTTGCGGGTGTAGAAGAGAAGGAGACCTCTGCGTGCACAGAAATAAATGTACCTTCTCCTAGATAGAAGAGAGTAGGGATTTCTGGTGCTCTGTAAACACCAGTGCAGTCCGTTCTGATGCAGTTAGAAAAAAATACTGTTTGCACTGCTTTAGCTGGATCGGAAAGCATCAAAACGCATTAAAAAAGTGCATGCAAACGCACTGAAACGCACCTGAAATCCAATTTTAAGCAAAAAAACCTAGCATAAAATCACGGCAAATCACATCACACTCCAGCTGTGCAGACGCGCGCACTTCTGGTGTGAACTAGCCCTAAAACCCAGCACAGTCCCTTAAAAAATCTTACTATCCTGAAACTGCTGATATTGGCTAGAATTCTCTAGAAAAGAAGTTCCTACTAATAAACCAAATGGGTACTCTTTTTCATTACTTTCTATGGTTGGTATAACCATACAGGTTATGGCGAGTTGGGATTAAAGCAATCAAAAAACCCTCACTCTAATCAGTGTGTAGCACAGTAAAGCCTTTTTAAAACGGAGGGTATTCACATGTATCATTCCATCACATCGCTGCATATCCAGAACCGCTGGTATATAGTACAAATACAGCCTAGTATGATGGTGCCATTTGTTCCAAACCTCATACAGCTGTTTTAAAGCTATAAAAAAAGATTCATAGTATCCACTAAGTGAGGATTAAAGCTGCACTCCGGGCAGAACTGTTGCGTAATATTTTCAAAGTTAATTTCTTACCTTTGGGCAATATCCTTTTTTGTTTTTTTTACACAGTTAACCAAAGCATGAGTAATCCCAGAATCAGGGCTTTAATCATCTATATTTCCTTTTAGCCACTATATCCCCAGCCACCAGTCTTGTACAATGCCCTGTGTAGTCCCATTGAACAGTGAGTAATTATATCACCGCTCACTGTAGTGGGCAGACCCAGGGTGTCTCAGACTTCTGGTCTGAACCGCCCTCTTGCCCTAAGTCTTTTGATTGACAGGTGATCTGGGTGGAGTCAGAAGGCACAGCCTTTTGATTCGCCACAAATGTTCCCAAACTTGCATGCCGATTGAGTAATTAGAATTTGTTGTTTCAAGCTGTGGCATGGGATACACTAAAAATTTGAGCTTATCTAAGCATATGTTGAATAAAAACCATGCTCGTTTTTATTGCATCAAAGGTAAAGAAGTATTGCGGAGATTTTTACACTATCCCACAGTTCATCTTTAAATTACACAGTACTAATTTTGGTTCCAAATTGATAAATTGTATGATATCTTTTTTTGTTTTTTTCCTAAATTTATTAAGGGCGGTTTGGTTTGACCCAGAATCATACCCTACCTCTTATCAGCTTGATCCCACTGAGGGTCCAAACAGAGAGAGACGACGTTTACAAAGATGCTACTTAACCATTCCCAACAAATACATTCTCAAGGACCGGCAAAAGAAAGAAGGTAAGTTTATTTTCACGATGAATTTAAATGTGCATGTGCTGTTTACTCTAAATCACTGCCCCTTAATGTGCATCTCTACCGAGATATATAAAACAAACAATAAGGAGTATTTATCAAAACTGGAGCAGACAGAATCAGTCAATCAGTATCTTTAATTTTCAAGGCTTAACTGAACAAACTGAAAAGAGAAGAGATTTTGTCTGCTCCTGTTTTGATAAATTCCCCTCATTGTATGTTTTGTATATAGGTATTTTTCTTCTTGTCCAAAGAACTGTAGAGCAATGCATATGCTTTTGTGAACCACCTGTTCCTACTGTGATGTATAGCTGCATAGAGTAATGAGTGTGCCAACAATTTTTAGACTGCAGTTTTATAAATTCCATACATGTGTCCTGGGGCCCTTCTTTCTCTTTGGCCTACTAGTGGACACTAGTTCCAAAAAACATTATTAAAAATAAACGTGTGTGTGTTACCTTACCTTTTTGTCTGGGTGAGTTGGAATTAACATGCTCGCATGCAGAATGAAGGGTAGTAGGTGTGCTGAAGCAAAAATTAAAAGGTACAAAAAGATTGCCGGTTTACCTTGCGGGGGAGTGGAGGCTTGCACAGACACAAAATGTGTTTGTGGAGTAAAGGTCCACTTTAAAGCTAGAAATGTCATGTACTATAACTTTCACAATGAGTGCAGCTCAGTTGTGCTAAATAAACATACAAAAACTCATCCTGGAATAATCTGATGTTTCAGCGATACAGTGGAATCATAATTCTAGGTATAATCTTTTTTTTTACCACCTCCTTTCTTCATGAAAAAAAAATAAAATACAATATTTTTTTTTCTTAGACATGCTGTTAGTCATAAATCTGTGTCTGATTTTGCTTTTTTTGCTTTCATTTCACAGAAATTGTTAAGCCTCCTTTATCTTACATTTTTGAAGAAAAAACACATTCCTCATTATCTTCCACTGTAAAAGAGAAAGCTGCAAGCGAATTAATAAGGTAACTATGATATACTGATATGTGCGATTTAATCACCAACTACTTTCTTTTGCCATCTCTTTTATTAACAAACTATGTTTAAGAGCCTGGGCGTATGGTATGGAGCAGGTGGTCAAAGTGAAGGGTTGTTTTTCTTTATTGTCATTGAAGAACACAGGAATTGAGGAATTCTAATACAGCCAACCCGGTATAACCCATACTGCTGCCAACAGGAGGATGAGACACTGGCAAATAAAAAATAGTTGCAGTCTAGCCCTTGTATAACTCCTCCTCTACCCAGAATGCCTTCGTTTTCTTGAGATTTGTCTTCTTGATTTCTATTTTATTCTGTTGTATTCAATATAATTACACACCGCTGCTTGAGCTAGCTAGGTAGGAAGGCAGCAAAGGATCCACACTCTTGGTCTTTGGCTACCTTTCTTGGCAGGAACATACCTTAAAAGGTGGTTCCCTCTTAAACTTGCACCCCTCCTCAAAGGGGAGTTTCCTATACTTGGTTACTTTTGAGCCCTTTGTTGTATTTGCTCACCATCAGTCCTATCTCCCTACCAAGGGATCTCCTGATCCACAAAGTACACACAATTCAGTTTTATCCGGTTCTCTTGCTGATAAGGATCTGTTCATTCAACATCCCTCAGATGTACCCACTCTAAGTAGTGGGTCTTATGTTTACCCTAGTGATTTTCCTGGCATCCACATTGTGGAACACTTATTCCTTAGAGATGACCTTTGGGTTTTATGCTGGTACCTTTTGATTCAACAAAGGCCAAGGGAGTTTGTATTAAACTCCCACTGAAGATTCCTCTTCCAGTGGATCCTTTGCTCTCTTAACTGCCCAGAAATCTGCCCTTTCTTCCCAATGGGCCTCTGTGGGACCTGATCACCAGGAGCGGTGTCCTTCATCTACTGCTGCTCTGAAGTCTCTTGAGGAAATTCCTTTTTTTCCTTATTTCTTGCTTCCAATCAGTGCTCCTGGTAAGGGAGCCTACCCCTAGTTCTTTACAATCTTATTGCAAGATTGTTTTCCTTTCTCCAAAGTCCTTTCCTCATTATAAAACCTCTTACTCTGCTTCTAAGTTTAGGAGTACAAGGCTTGGGCCGTCTCTCCCGCATTTTTGACTGGCAGGTTATTTTTGCAGACATATGTTGTTGTCCAAGGGTTTGCTTCCCTTTTAGGAATTAAATTTTTTTAACTGGATCTGGGCCCAGTAAATAGTTTTTTCTTATGTTGGCCTGTTGTTTTTTTACATTTTTTTTTTCACTTTCACTTTTAGTTTTTTCTACCTTTTATGTTGATAGATAGCTAGTTGGCTCCCCAGTCTCACTAGCAGTGGTCTATTGCTCCTTCAGTCAGTAGTTCCCCTTGGCAGTTATTTTTTTTGTTTCCCTTATTCTGCTCTGGAACATCAACTTTGTCCTCCCCTTGGTTGTGGGAGTTTTCTCCCATCTAGTTCATTTTAGGAGTTGGTTCCTTCAGAAACCTCTGACATGGGAAAATCATAACTTTTTTAGGGGTCAATGAGTGGATGTTGCCCACTTGTCAGTTGGAGTGCTTTTTCACATCCCAGCTGTAATAAAATGCTGAAATGCTTGTGTTCCACAATCGACAAAAAAGAGATTTTTTTTTTACTTACAGTAAAATCAATTTCTTTTGAGTTCTTTGATGGACACCGGTCCCACCTCTGTGTTATTGGCCCTATGTAGTGCTAGCTCTCAAAACAGAGGCATGCTGGGTAGGGGAGGGGTTATACAGGGACTAACTTTTAACATTTATTTTTGTTTGCCAGTGTCCCAACCTCCTATAGACAGCTGGATACCCCATTTGTAATATAATTATTGCATTTCTCTGTCCCTCAATGAACACACAAATATTTTTTACAGTAAATAGAACATTCCCGTTCCGGCACACTTGTGGGCTATCCCCCCTTCATTGTCCCATCCAGTATTTATACATAGTAGGTCATTTCTCCTTAAGTGCATGTGAGGCTACAGCAGGTCATCTCTAGTTAAGAGCAGAGACACAACTGTCAGAAACAACTAGTTGAAAAACATCATCCGTAAATTCCCTAAATGTAGAAAACTCAATTCTTCACTAGCACATTGTTTATTGCAATGGCCACTTATCACAACATTTTGAAAAACGTGATCAAATATATTGCACTGACACATACGAAAAATACCTTTAGTGGTTCTTTCAATGCTGTTTTGGACACATCACAGTAAAATGTATTAAATACTGGCAATGGACACGTATGTCTACTAACAGCCAGAAGAGGAATAATAGAATACTGGCTATTACCCTTACCCCCCACAATAGCAATGACTGAAAAAGATCTGAAATGCATGTTCTACGTGAAAAAACTAGATGCAACATTCAATTAAAAAAATAAAATAATATTTAAAATATTTTTTTTTAAAGATGTAGAAGTTATTGAGAACTCTTGCTGAACTGAAAAAAAAATTTCATATGTCCACATTTCAATACAATTGGGTATGCACGATTAGATCCCCATGAAACACTAATCCGTGTATTTATAAAAAATTGCAGTAATTTCTTCCAGGAAGCTGTATGCACATTCATTCTGTGCAAATTGAGGCAAAAACAGAGGTTATTAGTACAACCCCAATTCCGAAAAAAGTTGGGCCGCTGTGTAAAATCTACATAAAAACAGAATGGAATGACCTGCAAATCTCCATAAACCCATATTTTATTCACAATAGAAAATATATCAAATATCAAATTTTCTTACCAGGTTGAATGTGATATCAGGAAAATACTGTATTATGGCCTCTAGATGGCGGTGAGAAACATAGGAAACAGTAGAAAGGTATCATGGCACACTCACAAGTCAGCATGTAAAAAAACTTGTCTCACCACTAAGGTTAATAACAGAGGTTTGGATACACGTCTTCTGCAGAAAATGAAAGCCGCACAGCCGCGCTCTCAACCAACTATACAGTAAGGTTCACACGAAATGGGCTTCAAACAGTCCCCAAATAGGCCCCCATGTGCTCCAAGATGGAGACTCTCATAGTTTAGAGTTAGGACCGCACTATAAGAGGTGCCTTGGCGCGGCTGTGCAGCTTTCACATTTTCTGCAGAAGACGTGTATCCAAACCTCTGTTATTAACCTTAGTGGTGAGACAAGTTTTTTTACATGCTGACTTGTGAGTGTGCCATGATACCTTTCTACTGTTTACTGTTTGAAGCCCATTTCGTGTGCACCTTACTGTATAGTTGGTGACAAATTGTTGAGTGCGTTTGTCATTTGTTTTGCTTAAACATAGGAAACAAACACTTATTTCCAATGTTCCTCGGCTCCATTCATCCTAGTTTACAGTTCAGCAGTTACTAACACCTCATATTCTTTTGTGATCTTTCATGTAATGCTTTACCAACATGTTTATTCTTGTTAATGTATGGGGTTCCAGGGTTAATCGAAGATGCATCAATGTAGCACCATCCAGAGAAACAGTTGGGGAGCTCTTGTTAGGTAAGTCAACATTTTAACTATTAGTAGTCTGAAGAATAAAAACCATGACCATGCAAAACACATATTCCTGCTTGATAAACTGAACAGTCAAAATCATTAGGGTCCCATTTACAATCTTTGCAGTGCATTAACACGTGCAGTCAAATGAAATGAATGAGATGCCAATGCACCCTAACATGCTTAAAAATGTACCTGGCCCTTTTTTGTAATGCATTGCACCACCGTGCTTTTTAGTGCGCTACACGTGTGCAGATGTGTTTACTTAGTGCGTTCGTACTCAATGCGCTGGGGTGCCACAAAGCTGAAATGCATGTGGAGATGTAAATGCGCCCTAAAGGTGAATTTTACTTTAAGTTAGTACTTTTTATTGTGGTTTTCATTTTGAATGGCACCCCAAAGCACTAAGCCAGCTTTGAAGAGTGCTGCCACACGCATTCACACACCGCAAGGGTATTAAAGGCCCTTTAAGGTTTGTAGCACACTGATGATTGTTTTTGCCCATGAGTATTTGATATGTAAGGGCCAAAACAAACTTTTCTGACTTTCAAATAGGTAGCACTGCACATCTATTAATTTTGAATGACACCCCAATGCACTAAGGCATCTGAGCTCCATTTACATGCATTGCAGCACAGTAATGCACTACCGCATGTTGTGGTGCGCTGCATTGCCGAAAATGGTATATGTCAGTTTTCTTGGACATTTTGGTGTGTTGTTAGTCCATTCATTTGAATGGACTGCCTAATTGCAGTGCAATTTAACAAGTGAAAAAAAAAGCGCATATTTGAAGGGCCCTATGTGATATAGGCATCTTTTTCACTAAGTACACTATTTTTTGTATGTGATAAATAGTTTACTGCGTTGCAAATAAGCAGCAACCACCAGTTTCTGCTTCTGCTTGTACTTTGCTTGTATATTTTAATTGTAAATTATACCTGCATCTTTGCTTCAAATGTTTTTACCGAAAGAGAATTATTTAATGATATATTAAGCTTTCATTGCTGAAAACCCAATAAATGTAACCTTTTCGAACAAATGTTAGTATCCAATTTAGTCAATTTCTGCTACGATATGGAAAGTCTGTGTGCAAAATCCAAATGTATGTCTCCCCTTTTACTTCTGTTTACTACCATAATATCAAGCAATAGTGCTGCAGAAAACATGCTTTTCATTTTCTGTATCTCAATATCTAGTATCAAATGTATATGAAGTATTGATTAGCATTAATCATATTATGATGATCCCATGTACTAGTGAGCTATGTTAATTCATTACCTATGTCTGAAACTGAATTTTTTTTATCTATCAGCAGACGCCCCCAGATCTGCTTTAGTATGTAATTTCTGGAACACCATAATAAAAAATCATCCATTTTTATTGTTCATTAAATTAACTCTGTACCTATGACTAGAAATATTGTGTGTAGAGCAGGGCTCAAAATTTCAAGCCCTGAGCTACTAGCCAGGCCTTAAGAGTTACTAGCCACCAGTTGCCCCACCTAAAGGTCCCCACACACCTTACGATAATCGTACGATAATCGCGGGAAATCACGCGATCGTACGATTATCGTAAGGTGTGTGGAAGCCGTGCCACCTCTACTACGCAAACGAGCACATATAGGCGATCGGCGGGCTATGGACCCGCTGATCGCCTATATGTGAAACACCCGGTACCGGGTGTTCGCATTGGAGGGGTCTTTTCTGCCCGCGCGTGCCCGCTAGGGGGCGCGCGCGAGCAGAAAAAAAATGCCGTCTAGCGACGGCAACCCGCGAATGCGACAGTGCCGTCCGTCCGTTTTTCTACTACGGGCGGACGGCAACTGGTTAAGTTATAGTAGTGTAGCAGTGGAAATACATACAGATATCCTTGCTAAATCCTTATGTACTGATGATTGAAAAACGAGAGGAATTAACTTTATATCAGAAAATAAATGGTATTATAAAATAAATGATCTTATAACTCTAATACTGTCATCTGCCTGAAGTATGCACGCTATTACCGACAGAATGTGTTTTTTTTAATCCACTAAAAGGGGGAACACAACTGTACCAGTGATATTAAGGAAAAAATAGAAAGTGCATTGACATTCTGTTATCTCTTCAAACCAAATTTGTTGGATAGTAATATAATCACAAAGGTACTTCACAATATCACATACAAATCATCCAGGGTGAGTCGGCTTAACCAACTGGGTATAGGAGATCGTCAATCATTGATTCCATTAAGCACCATATAGTTGCTGCTTGGAGTATGCGTCCTAAATGACAACTTTTAAGGGCGAGCCCTCTTCCTTAAAGCTAAATAATTAGCACACTTCTTCCTCTTTATTAGCAGTCATCTCTGGGTGACACCCCTATATGTATATGTGGTAACCATCTAGAGGTTGGTATCATTGCCATCGCTATAATTAATGGTAAATATGAAGCCTATGTAGAGGTATGCGTTATTTGGGAAAATGTGGCTACTGTGGACTGCTAAAATCACAGTGCTACTCATTGGTTCTTATTTGTTTATAAGGTAAAGTGTGGCTATTCTGTTTTATGAACCATGGAAGGATATATCTGTATGTGTATGTATGTATGTATGTGTATATATAATATACAGTTGGGCAAAAAAGTATTTAGTCAGCCACCAATTGTGCAAGTTCTCCCACTTAAAAAGATGAGAGAGGCCTGTAATTGGCATCATAGGTAGACCTCAACTATGAGAGACAAAATGAGAAAACAAATCCAGACAAATCACATTGGCTGATTTGGAACAAATTTATTTGCAAATTATGGTGGAAAATAAGTATTTGGTCAATATCATAGGGTCATCTCAATACTTTGTTATATATCCTTTTGATGGCAATGACAGAGGTCAAACGTGTCCTATACGTCTTCACAAGGTTGGCACACACTGTTGCTGGTATGTTGGCCCATTCCTCCATGCAGATCTCCTCTAGAGCAGTGATGTTTTAAGCTCTAAAGAAGCCGGTTTGCCCTGGAAATTTGTTTGGATGCACACTCCAAGCAGTGACTGTATGCTGCTTAATGAAATCGGTTGTATCTGGTTAAGTTGAGCAGGACTTATCTTGTGTGGATTTTATGTGATATGTTGATATGTGAAGTATATTTGTGATTGTAATATATTACTATTCAATAAAGTTTGATGTGATGGTGGTGCGCTTTCTATTTGTTCCTTAGAGTTCGCCGTGGATATCAGTGTTGACTACAAAGGGAAGATTTAAAAGAATTTTGAATAGAGTTTCTCTACAGCTTGCTTATATCCTTCTATGACTCAAGCGCTGACAGTACTTCTTTTTGTAGCAGTAATATGCATGCTTCATAAATGTATCTAAAACGAAATTATTTTTCTGTGTAGGGAAGTCTGGAATGTATTTTGTAGAAGACTCTGCACCTGACATGGTAGAATCTAATGTAAGTAAATTTCATCAGTTTGTAAACAAGTACATTATTCAGCTCTTTTCTTATATTATGTGATCCCTTTTGGAAAGATAATCCTCCTATAAACTGCTTATTTTATCCAATCCAGATGGTATTATTGATGGTGTGGGTAAGTTACAGTAGCTACATTACCTGACAATGTAAATTCAATATTTTCTGGATTTTGGCAAATAAAGTTGTCGTAAATTTTTGAATGGATACCACTTTAATCACCTTCATACACTATACGGCTTTTTACTTACTCTTTTCCTGCAAAGTGATATATCTCCTTTTCTGTCCTGTGACATCAGCTTCAACGGATAAGAGGATGAATTTGCTGGGCACCCCATGTCATTTCCTAAGTGACAAAGTGACCAAGAGCTGCCTGTCTAAAGTTCAAGGCTGGCTGCCTGTCCGAGGCTGGCTCTTGGAAGTGAAGAAGGTGCTGTGGGCAGGTGTATTAGCAGAGACAGAGGAGCAAAGCAATTCCCTGTTATTACTAGGCAGAAGCATTAGTCATTTCTTTTCTACACTTTTACATGTTAGTAACTGAGATTAGTGAACCCATTTCACATCATGTACCTGGTTGGAGGCTGAGATGACGAGGTCTTACCTTACGCCTCTGGTCCAGACACCCCTGGAGTTGAGCACAGGGAATGAGAGGGCACAGAGTGCCACGGGTGTCAGGTGTCCAGTTCTTAGAAGCTCACTTATGGGGACCAGCTTGGCTGTGAAGTGATTATGCAGACTGACAGGATGTGTCCCTGGGAGAAGCAGACTGGAAGGAATCTGACCATGACACTGGAATGCATTGCAGGATGGAACCATGGTCCAAACAGGCAGTGGTTGGTAGCCAAGGACACAGATAGCAGGCAGGGTAGTAGGCAAAGTTATGGTAAGGAGGCAGGCCGAGATCACACCAAAACTTCAGCAAAGCTGGAGTCTGAAACTAACAGGGGGTCACACCGGAAAAGCCTGAGACAAGCCGTTGTCAAGAATAAGCCAAAGTCCCACCAGGAAATAACAGAGACAAGTCATTGTCAGGATTGACTAGCTGAAGTCAATGAGAGGAAGGCAGACGAAAGACAAGGCCAAGTCAGCAGTGGAAAAGCAGATCAAGAATAGGTTCAGTATTCAAGACGCAGGGTAATAGCTGAAGACCATACAGCAACTTCCTAGCTCAGCACTGTTCCTTTAATAGGGTGTCTGGTGTCAGCCTGGAATTAGACATGCCTGTCCATGTGCCAGTACACCCAGGTATCTGTGCAATATATCCTCGTGTATTAGCTTGCTTGTGTGAATTAGCATGCTCATGTGAATGAGCCTGGGCAAGTGTGCATGCACACACAGCTGAATGGAAATGACGCTTGTCCTGTGCATTGGTGCATGTGCAGATTGTCTCCTGATGTTGAGCAATAAACTGTGATTAGCCCATACACAGAAGAGAACCAATCTTGCTCCAGATTGTAAACTGCAAAAGGATTTACTTTTTTTCACTTTAATGATTTCAATGAACTACACTTCCTTAATTTTGAATTTTACGTCTCTGAAGAGTGAGGCATAGAGGGGCAGGGATAGGCATAGCTGAGCAGGAAGAGGCGGAGCTGAGAGGGCAAGGGCAGTATGCAGGCATGGGGTCCATTATGTCAACACAGCCTGACTGCAAGGGTCATTGGGACTACCGGTCACAATGCGCATAGGGATCTACTGAGTTAACTGGTTGCTGGGACTTTTCTGGAGCAACTTACAAACAAGCACCTGAAGTGAATGGAATATACATGACAGGAAAAGCAATAAGGTAGGCTTACACAGGGCTATGGGCAGTCTTGGTGGCTGGAGATTGACCCAGTGCTGCAATATGCAGAGAGTTGCATGCTCCTCCATACCTGGAGTGCCAAGGATTTTCTTCACTCACATCAAGGTGAGTATTTGGAGGGATTTAAGCAAATCATTTAAACAGGTTTGCTCATTTTATGGTACTTTTTCCCCAACATTAGATAAAATGTTATGTATTTTAGGGGCTTCTTGTTTACCGAAGGCCATTCTATTTTTTTTCTTTTTTTCTTTTTTTTAGTCCCTGCTTGGTGAATCAGAACCTGCTTCATTTTCCTGGACATATGAAGAAATTAAAGAAGTTCATAAGCGCTGGTGGCAGCTTCGAGACAATGCTGTAGAGATTTTTTTAACAAATGGAAGAACCTTGTTGTTGGCTTTTGACAATACCAAAGTATGTTTAATTATTATGTGTGGCATTTTAAACTTTTACGATTATTGGCAAAACAGTTTCCTATACTAATTGGGTGTTCTGTCTTGGATAAACCCATATGTATGCTGCAAGTGATAAAAAACAAACGGCAAAACCGTACAACTAGTTCCCAGAAGCATAACATAGCAGTTGTAATGGAGTAGTTATTCACTGAGATAATTGTTTAAACTTTGGTTGATATAGTACATGTCAACCACTTCTGCATTTATGATTTGAAAATTCACAAAATAGTTTTGCAGGGTTAAAATTTACTCCTAAATGCCACTGAAGTCACTACTGATAATTTTAGACTAGTTGGTTTAAATAGCAACAGCTTTTGTAATTGCTTATCCATTTCTTGCAACCAATGTTATTTTTTTCCCAAGGACCAACATGTTCCCAGCTAGTATCCTTATCCAGGTCATGCACATTCTCTCTAGGCATGTGGCCCGACCCGGAAATAAAAGCCAATAGCGCCAGAGACTGCCACCCCACTCAAAATGTATGCACACTGGACTTCTACAGGTGGCTGCCCCTTATCAGTCAGGGAGACTGTAGTATCTTATGAAACATAAACAAAAACAGGGGGCGCCTTCCGTAGTGTAGCTGATTTTTATTGAGCAATAGCAAAAGATAGAATAATACTCCAAAGAGCAGATAACGATACGCCTTCAAAGTCCGAAGATGATCGTCAGTCTTGACAAAAACGAGACACTGCATTTGAGCGCTGCAGACAGATGATGTATAACTGCACAGTATGCCTGGGTTAACGTATTTCTGGGTCCATGCACCCTTCCTCGGAACCTGAGGTCCCGAGGAAGGGGGCATGCCCCAGAAACGTGTTAACCCAGGCATAATGTGCAGCTATACAGGATCTGTCATCTGCCTGCAGCTCTCACATGCCGTGTCTCATTTTTGTTAAGACCGACGACCATCTTCTGACTTTGAAAGCATATTGTTATCTGCTAGTTGTGAATATTAATATATTAATATATATATATAAATTACAGAAAATTGTTATCCTACTTACCTTAATTTTCTTTTCCTGGCTCATCCTCATGTCCGCATACTGATGGGTCAGCTCCGCCCCTCTGACCCCACAGGACCACCTTCCAAAAGAGAATAAAGGCCAGTCCCCCCCCCCTTAGATACACGTTCCCTGACAAGACGAGCGACAGGCCCGCAACTAAGGGTGGGTATGTATGCTGACATGAGGATGGAAGGAAAAGAAAATAAGACCCCACATTTATTAGGAAATTGCTGAAGACAGAACCGCAGACCCAAAGCGAGCCAATCTAGCCGCTGCGATATCCATGTGGTAGTGACGGACAAACGTGTTCCATGAACTCCACCTCGCCGTCTTGCATATATCCTCAATCGACACTTTGGTGTAAGCGGCCCAAGAAGTGGCCATCCCCCTTGTCGAGTGTGCCTGCACTTCCACAGGAAGAGCAAGACCCTGTTTCAAGTAGGCTGCTTTAATTGCTGCTTGGATCCAGGACGCCAAAATTCGAGGCGTAGCAGCCATTCCTTTTTTCGGCCCTTTCGGAAGAACAAACAACCGATCCGTTCGCCTAAAAGGCAGCGTCCTCCTTGGGTATTCCCCGAATAAGATGAACAGGTCTAATGCCAGAGTGAGTTCTTGACTCGGGTCTGCTTGTGAGGCTTGGCCTCCGGGCAAGACCACCTCCCAATCCGCATGAAATGCCGAAGATACCTTGGGCCTGAACTCTGGCGATGGCCTTAGAAAAACCTGGTTCTCTAGAACCACACAAAAAGGTTCTGTATGCGAAAGTGCCGCTAACTCTGAAACTCTCTTTGCCGAAGTCATAGCCGTTAGGAATACCAGCTTCAGAGTCAGGGACCATAATGTGCACTGGTCCAAAGGATGGTACGGAGGGTGCGACAGGACCTGAAGGACCAGATCCAGGTCCCATGATGGATATAAGGATTTCCTTGGAGGCCGCATTCTGAGTGCTGCTCTCATGAACGTCCTAAGCAAGGCGTCGTCCGCCCATTTAACTCCCGTAAATGCGGATAAGGCCGAAATTTGAACCCGCAGAGAGTTGTATGCCAAACCGGCATCTAAGACCGATTGCAGGAACTCCAGAATCTCCGGAATACCAGCTGTCATCGGAGAGAAGCCTCTTCCACTTGCGAACATTAGAAACTTGTTCCATACTCTTGAATAAGTAGCGTGTGTCGCAGGTCCCCTAGAACGAAGCATGGTATCATGACACTGTCCCTGGAGAAGAAGATCCCTCCTGACCGGGAGGAACCATGGGGGGAAAGATGCCATCTGTTGCAGTAGCAGGAACCATGGCCTCGTTGGCCAAAATGGGAGGACTGCAATCACCTGAACCTTGAAGACTGCAATCACCTGAACCCTCTCTAACTGGATCTCCTGCAGGACCCTGAGGGCTAAGGGGGAAATACGTATGCCATCGGGAAGTCCCATGTTACCGAGAATGCATCCTGGCGTAGCGCCCTGTGACATCTGTCTCTTGAAAAGAATAGTGGAAACTTCGTGTTCCTCCTGGTAGCCATGAGGTCGATGATTGGGGTTCCCCACCTCCTGAAAACTGGCTTCAGATACATGGAATTCAGCTCCCATTCGCAGTTGCCCAGGAAATTCCTGCTCAGATGGTCCACCAATCTGTTCTCTGGCCCCTGGAGGTAGGCTGCTGTAAGGGCTAGTAAGTGCCTCTCTGCCCAAAGAAAAATCTCCTGCGATAGAGCCAACAGGGAAAGACTCCTGGTCCCTCCTTGCCTGTGAACATAGGACACCTTGTTGTCCATGAGGAGTCTGACCTGTCTGCCCTCGATCAATTCTTAAAAGGCCTGCAAGGCCAGGGATACCGCTTTTAATTCCAACCAATTGGAATGCTGTATCACGGAGCCCTTCCAGCGTGTTTGAACCCGATGTCCGAGGCAGTGGGCTAAACATCCTTGGCATCGGTAGTAAGCATGATCCAAATCTGCGGATCCAGAGACACACACCCCAAAAGGGATTGAGCACTCGTCCACCACAACAAGTCCCTCCGCACAGTCTGAGGAAGGACAATCCGCGGGCTCAATCCCATATGATTCCATTGATGAAGGAAACAGATTTGAAGGCTGCGCATGTGCCAGCGTGCCCAAGTGACCGTTGGGATGCATGATGTCAACATTCCCAAAAGCATCATGCAGTCCCTTGCAGACAGAGACGGAACAGTGATGGCTTTCCGAGCACGGGAGACTATTTCGCATCTGCGTCGGACCGGAAGGAATACCCTGGCCAGGGATGAGTCCTGGCATTGCCTGTGCCGATCATGCCCAGCAAGAGGCGGGTAGACTTTGCCGTTCCGGGGACCTCTGCAGTGAAGGTAAGTCCCTATGTCGATGGTATCGGTGGCCGCTAGTCGCTACATCCTGAGTAGAGTCTGATGATGAAGACCGCCTTCTATCCCTTTTCCTCTTGGATTTCTTGTGGGCAGGGCTTTTACTCCTGGAAATACAAACACATCAATATATTGTATGCCAGCAAAGCGCACTCTTTTTAAAAGATCCGCCGGATCTGCTGAATCCTAACACTAAATACAAAAACAAAAAATAAATAATAGACCGAAGCCTTAAGAAAAAGAGGAGAAAATACATGCAACCCATCTTAAGCAACATGCACTGCCACTCACCTTGTAGCTGCTTACACTGCTGCCAAAAAAGAGAAGTCAGGAGAAGGGGAGGAAGGAGAGACAGGAAACCAGCTTTAAATCCTTATCTGGCCTCCCTAGTCTCCGCCCCCCATCCTAATCATAGCTGGTGAAACCGCGGTGCCCATACGAGGCGCCGCAATACACGCCGAATAGCGTCCCGCCGCTGTCATGGAGACCATGACGCCGCAGACGCCACTCCCCCGGCGTGGCTTTCCGACGCGGCCATGGCAACCATGACACACGGACGCATGCGCAGAAGGGGAGAATCGCCGGAACCAAAGCCTTACACTCACTTAGACTGATCCAGCATGAGACCCCATCCTACAGGAGAGAGAAACACAGACGTTTATTCTGCATAGGAAAACGCCTGCACCAGTGGCACCCCTCATCCAGGAGATTTACTGCCTAACAGAGGGGTCATCTGGTTACCAAATTGCTCTTGGAAGGGAACGGCACCCCTGATTGCCCAGATCCCCCTATTCTTAACTTTGCCATTTTGGATTATTTAATTTGGATTTGCATTAACTTTGGATTGTTTGGATTTACATAAAAAAAAAATAAGACCTACCCTGAAAATAAGACCTATTGTGTTTTTTTGAGCCAAAAAAAATATAAGAGTTTCCCAAATTCGTATGTATGCTTACATGGTCCGACACAGCAAGAAGCAACCACTACAAGGAAAATAACATCATCTGCAATAAATGGGAACAAAGCCAATTTCATTCTGAACCTAATATTAGCAAGTTTAGTGCAAAAAACATATAGTGGGGCTATCATGGAACTGACAATTAGGAGGCTATTAAAACTTCAGTTTATGAACCTGCAGTTAATGGGCTATATTTTGAATAAATGGGATATCCATAGTGTTAACATAGCTAATCGCATTCAGCCTATAGCTTCTAAAAGCCATTTGGCACCCTATATATAACAGTATCAGCATAGGAAACACCAGAAGACCTTACTGCAAGTATTAGGGCTACTGAGCTAGAATAATCTGCTAATGTCCCTTAATGATTAGTGCTGCCAAATCCAAAAGTTTATATACATAATACATACACTAATACATAGTGTCCCACAAAAGGTCAAGTATCAATATCTACTTGCCAAAAGAAGCCGTCTGTTGTCCTCTTCAAGCAAGTTGGAGTTCTTGTGCCAACCGTGCTCGGCTATAAACCCCTCCCGTTGTTGTGACACCGTGTCACCTGATCTTGGCCTTTTGAAGTCATCAAAGGCGTGGACACAGTCATATTACGCATGAGCCAGTTGGCACACTTGCAGACATATCTACAGGGGCCAACAAGAACTACAAGGAAGTTGCAATGTTGGTCTGTGGAGCAGGCATGTAAAAAGCATTTGCTGTAAATGCCCTTTCAGGGTAAACATCTCGTTAGAGCTCAATTGGACACCGTCATCAGAGAAAGTACTGGAGATGAGTGTAATCCTCTATCCCAGCAAAAGAAGCCTAGGCCTCAAGTTGAGATGAACCATTGCTCTTTTGAGATGAAAAACAGTTCCTTTCTTTACTCCCAGTTTTCAACCTGAGGCAAAACCTAAGCATGAAAGATAGCCCCCTCTTTCCAAAATGGCTAACGTCTGTTAGCCTTTGAGGGCATTTGGACAAACCGCATATCATATGCTTTGGTACAAGAGGTTTTTATTCCAACCTTTTCACAATTCCCAGACCAAAAGGAGGCGTACACCCTATATTGGAACTTAAGACCCTGAATGTCCACATTCAGTCCCACAAAATTCATATGGAATCCACCAGGTCTGTCATAGTCTCCTATCAGGAAGCCTATGTGGCCTCCTGGGGTGATCAAGGAAGCGTGCAAACATGTGCTTTTGTTTCCAGTGCATTGGGGATTTCTTCACATACCTGTGGTCCACAACACCACCAATTCGTGTCCCTGTCATTCGGTCTGTCTTCACCCTGTGTATTCACCAAGGTTCTAGCCCCTGAGCTTGCCTTGCTGTGCCCCCAGTGCATCCCCATTGTGGGATATCTGGACAACCTCCTTTTAGGAGAACAGTCAGCAGAGCCCGACCAACAATGTGGAGCAGACGATTCAGAACTTTAAAAGGTTTGGTGAACCTTTAGAAGTCTGTTAGAGCTGACTCCTGGCTTCGAGTGTCTGGCATTGATCTTTGATAACAACTCAAACGAAAGTTTGTTTTCTTCCACCAAAAAAACCCCCAAAAACATAGAACTCCACGCCCAGACTTGAATTCTTCTGTACAAGAGTTGAACAACTCTTCACTTTTGCATGAGAGTCCAGTTCCAGCAAGATATACTGTGACACATGGAAGGTACAGTTCACTTGGTGTATGGAAAGAAAATGTAATCCTAGACCATATGTTGTGGGAGGAATCCTGAAATTTTTACAATAAGGCCTAGACCATCTATTGGCCCTAGCTACCCCCTATGTGTATATCTACTCTTACCACCGACTAATCAGCGGAGGAAAGTGACAACTAAAATGACGTTAAATCTTGTATAGCGCACAATCAATATATCGGTGAAATAAAATTCGTAAAATGTATCAAAAAGACAAATCCCATGAATTCAATAGTGAAATAAAATTAAAAAAAGTCCATATAGTGTTAAAGTTAATCAAGATAATAATATTGATCCATTAGGCTGAGAGTGTTGGAGCTAGTTGTTTGGAAAAATAACTAAGTGCTTGAGCACAACTTTAAAACAACATCTTGCTGGGCAATGTATATTTGCTTGATCTGGATTTATTTTTGAAGTAAGTTTGAGAGTTTAATACTACTTTAATCTAGTACTTAAAACAAATGTAATTTTTCTTCACTAAAGTCTGTTTATTTGCCGTCATCAATGCTCCCTTATGTTTTCAGCATTCTTAGGCTTTTTGTAATTGCCATGTATACTGTACTACTGTGCTATCATATACAGTACATAAACACTGTATTAGGAGTTCTTAGACATAATAAACATTTATTTGTAGTTGTTGACTATTCTATACAGATCTCTGGTATGTTTTACCTTTTTGCTAATACATTTTTTGCATATCAAAGCTGCATTATAATTGGCTTTGATTTTTTTCAGGTGTTT